TTCCATTTGTCTGTTTAGATTCATTTTTGCTTTAATCCTCCCTTGTTTGTGCACATCTGCAAGCACTGCAATAGTACAGACACAGTGAGACCGGGAACAAGGAGAGATAGAAAAAGAGAGTGAAAAAGACAGAGAGAGAGAGAGAGAGAGCTCACTGGGAGCGCTCTCCCTCCTGTTCCCATAGCTCCATCAGAAGGGGGCAGACAGGCGTATCTCCTTGCCCAGGGAGAAGCTCCCTGCCCCAGCCACAGAGCTGCCACCAGGCCTGCAGGCGCCTGTAATCACTGCAAACAGTCAAACACCCAGTCACACAGGCTTTTTACACAGTGTTATACCACATCTTATTATCCCATTCAAGTCCTCTATTAGCTCAATTGGATGGTGGGATTTTCATTGGCAAATTGGGGGATTTTAGATTAGCTTGTCTGACAGGGGGCGATGAAATGCCCCCTGAGACTATGAATTATGTGACCAATCATATATGAATCAATGCTTTCACATGCCCTACTACATGAATGGATGGCATCGGGAACAAGGCATGAGACAACTTTAACCTAGATTATGCACTGTATACATACTGGATCACAGATTTAAATCAATGCCAGCATCACAGCATCACTGCCTGGTCACAGCTTACATCCACTAGACTCTTCTCAGGATGCTAAATAAAGGCAGATGAATTAGTCTTAATGAATCAACAAAATGTGAATGACACCTTTTCCTTATAGCTGACAATAAGAAGCCTTAGCTTTTAAAAAGGTCTAACAGAAAATTATTAAAGAGATAAATATTAGTTGCGATACACACCTAGCAGCAACATTATGCAGAACTGAAACCGGCTGGTTGAAAGGAGTCAAATGAATTACCCCTCTTCCTCCCCAGGCCTTTCATTCAGACAGGGAGTGAGAGATGGAGGAGAGAGAGGAAAAAAAGGCACCCTGAGCTAGTTGAGAGTCCCGGTAAATTATGAAAATGCTGCTCTGTGTCCTAAATGAAGGCCGAGCTCTTTAATGTGGCACAAAATTAGAACCTGGGGGAGGAAGTGTGGCCTGCTTGATTGGCAAAACCCCTCCTGGCCCACAGCCCCCTCCCTCCCCAAAGCACAGAGATGTTATCCTGTGCCTGGTGGCACTCTCTTATACTGGGGGAAACTGAAGGACCCCAGAGAGAGCCCGGGGGCATCCATAAAGGTGCCTAATTTGTCAGTTTACTCCTCAATTATTTAAATAGATCTAAGAAGGGAGTGAAGAATGAGGCTTTTTCTGCCTCTTCACAGTCAAAGCAGAGAGAGACCTTTCTCCACAGTAGCCATTTTCAATTACGCTTGCCGCTGCCGTCTTTGATATACAGAAGTGCTGTAGCGGAGAGGGGCTGTATCAAATAAACAAATGTGTGTACACAAGATAACCACAGGAACTTGGGGATAATATTCAGCTTGCTCTTAAAAGCTCAAAGTTGTTTCACATTTACAGATTAAAAGGAACACTACAACCATGTGCACACTCAAAGTACACAGACATGAACCAATATGTTACACGTGTACACACCTACACATGAACTTGCACGTCTAACAGCAAAGATTAAGGTGATGTTTAGATAGAGTGAGGGCCTATTGTTACTCATTCCTCTTCTCTTCTCTCCATTCATACTATCAGGTTACAAGCCCACCCTCCACCTTCCTATCAGCACCCCACACCCAGTGGGGGTAACAGCTTAGCTTAGCCACTGCTTAGCAAAGCCAGCTCTAAACCAGAGAGAACACTGGAGATATGAGAGAACTGGGGCCAGAAGTTACCAAACAGTTGAAGATTGATCCTGGAAATAGAGATGCTGCATTTCCCAATCCGCTGACACTTAATCCCTCACATACAGTATCTGCCTCTGTTGTTTAGTTTGTTTTACCAGAGGAGTGATGGTGTGCGTATTGGGGAGGATGAGGATACAGTGAAGGTGGAGGGGGGCCCACATGGGGTCCTAAGGTGACCTTATCTCTCACTGGTATCTGGCAGAGGCCTCTCTATGTCTCATCTGTACAACAACAATCACCTCAATAAGGTCTATACCAGAAGCAATGCCAGTGTTGGGTCTGTGGGTGCCTACACCACTTGGTGAGCGCCAAGACAAAGGCACAATCTGTTAAAAGCAAGAACAACACTTGCAAATAGTGACAACACTCCATTTTGGCACAATAGACACAAAGCAATCTAAATACAAACACCTGTACAAACAAACTCAGTCAACCTACAAACACACAGTGCCTACCACACACTGAGAAACACACTTCAAGTGACAGCAAACAAAAACTTGAGACAAGTCAATTGTGACTTGTCAGCACAGACTGATGCAAATGGGCCTAATTCTACCAAACACACATTGATGACTTTATAAGAAAATATTTAATGTATCCAAAGCCACAGCTGCCAATATGCTAAGACTGTAGCAGTGCTGAAAATGGCCTTTTAACTAAATGGCTGCAGTCAACCAACCGACGAGAGTTGCTGTTTCAGATGACTTTGTATGCTAGAATAACAACAATTTCAAGATAAAAATGTGTGTGGAGTTTGGTATAAGGCATTGGCAACCATCACAGAAAGGGGTGGCACCTCGTAAACATCCTTGAAACAGGTTTCTCATGGTCAGGAAAGGGATCTGCAGGCAAAGTTTTTCAGAGTGTAAGATTCTGCTAAATCTGTGGCCAGCTCAGTATATCATGCCTCTCGCACCCTAAATTCTCTTCCCAAACACTAACCAACACACCACAACCCTCCGCCTCCCTCCACTCCAAGCTTCCATCCAGCCAGAGAGAGGAGAGGAGATAGGCCCAGTTGCTAAAGCTCTCTTTTCAGCCATTGCTCCCGCTCGGTCTATCTGAGATACACAGCAAGCGGAGGTGTCGCTTCTCCGCTGGCATTTCGGACAGTATCTACTTATAGACAGGGAGAAAAAGAGAAAAGAAAAACAGAAGGGGTATTATCAGGGAGGGATGAGAGCAGCAAAGGCATTTTGTCTTTTTATTCCCCTCCTAAGCCCTGGGCTTTGCTCCCAATCCGATTGGTCGATACGGCCAGGGATGTAAATGAAATGCAAAGAGGAATAAGGCTGGCTTCCCATCTCCAGTGTGTGCCCCCTAAGTCCCCCGCCCCTCTTTCTCTGTCTCACTCTGTCCTGCTCTCTGGGCTGTTTATGGTGTTGTGTTTCTGTTTCCCCATTCACAGACTTGCTGCTCTCCCTGTTTCCGTCTCACCCGCCTCACGCTGCCCCCCCTCCTCTCTCGCCGCATCCCTCCCCTCTCCCTGGCTGGGCTCACAGCTCTTATCTCCTCAGACGCCCCACATTTCAGCGTTGCCGTGGCTCCCTGCCTGCATCCCTGGTCACGGCAATTCCATGGGTTCCCACAATCCTCGGCAGCTTGCTGATTTAGGGTGGGCAACTGACTCTCAGAGACAGGAGAGTGGAGAGGAACAGAGGAGTTAGGGAAATAAAGGGTGAGAGGAGATGAGAGGCAGAGGAGGTGGGAGACAGGACGGGGATGACAAAAGGGAGGACAGGGAGAAAATAAAGTAAAAAAAAAAAAAAAAAAAAAAAAAACAGGGCATGAGGCAAGAAGTGGAAATTGATGTAAACATGAAAAGTACATTTTTTTTATTGTTCTTTTTGTAAAATTTAAATAAATATAATCAATATTTGTTACCCATAATTCCCATAAAACTTCAGAAAAAAAGACCAAAAATGTACTAAAATAAAGTCTTTATTAGAGTATTTTAATCTCTAGAAAGCAGCATAACCGTGTTTCCTCTTTTATGAGAAACTAAACCATCTGTGCTACTGTAGGTCCAATCTCACCACCCAGCCAGCTGACTGCCACTAACCAGGGGTGTGAACATTACGAGGAAACTACACATGCACTTACCGTCTTTTGCTGGTGGTATCTCAAACAGCAGTGTTTTATCAAGCATTTATCAACACTGGTTTGACCTCTTCATCACAGATTTCATGGCACCAGGCTCATTGATATCAGCACCAATATTCACAGAAACGTAACTGAGGCATTATAGTCTGAGAACAAATCAAAGACGAGTGATTCTGGTCCAGATGCCACTGTCTTTCCGGCAGCTACGGGGTTAATTTCCTGGGAGCTGATGGCCTTGTGTGTTAGTGAGTGTTTCTGGAGTTTCCGTGACTTTGTGCTTCAATGACTGCCAAAGCACTTTTCTTTTCAGTGTGCCGATCTGTTTATCGACTATGTTTATATGCGGTTCTGACAGGGACGGGGATTGGGTGAAGATTTAAGCATGTTCATACACGTAGACAGGCAAACACAAATCAACACACATGCACGCACACAAACGTACCTCTAAAAGGGTCCCTGGCATTGTGACATTTCCCATTTCATTTAAATCCATCAGGGATTATAACCCTCAGTTTTGGAGGGCGGAAAAAAACACACACTCACCGAATCCATTAGTAGTAAACATGCAAAAGACCATCTAAGATAGACTGATGGATAGATCGTGTGTAGTAAGGACTGTGTGGCCCAGCACAAGTCTGTCCCAGATTAAACAGCTGCTCTAATCGCCCATTTCCCTCAATCTCAGCCATGCCATCCTAATGTGAGAAAAAGAAAAGCAGAGCAATGGCTGAGGCAAAATAATCAGTATGTTAAAAGCTGTGAGACCAGAAGAGGAGGAAAAACCAGAACAAGATGTAACGATAAAGCAATAGAAGGGGTGAGGTTAACGAGAGCACACACAGCTTAACTGGGGTCAGTCAAGGCCTCCTGGAGTCAAGCTCTATCCCTGGTCAACTGTAAACATTCGCCAGAAAAGCTACGCACAGTCCTTTTTACTGCATTCTTAGTGAGCTCTGTATACTTCAGTATATCTGGATCAGCGCTCCTCTAAAGTGTAACTCCGAGTTCATAAATCCAATCTGACCACTACATCACTCTGTCCTGCTGGAGATCAAGAGAAGAGGCACATTGGCTCAGACTTCATTTCTTCGGCTGGGCTCGTGACACACTCTCAGTGTGCCAGCTCCATGAAGGGCTCTCTGTATCCTGTCACAGGGTTTGCTCCTGACTCTGACGGAGCCTGCCTCTCTCCTTGAGCAGGTGAGTTATGGCTGAACGTATGGCTGGCGCCTGGGGATCCGTGGGTTCCTTCTCTAAATAGAGTTTGAAGTGCTGGGCACTGCAGGTCAGCAGGCTGTCTGGACTGTAGCCCCGGTGACCTGAGCGAAGCAGCCTCTCACAGGCCAGTGCCAAGTTCTTGTCCCAGTTTGGGGGGTAGTCTGAGTGGGCCTCCACAATCTCCTTATACAGCTGACCAGTATACATGCACACAGAGATCAATAAAGACAAAAACGGATAAAAGCTGATGTTAGCACAAATAACAAAGCCCATGAATATGTCATACTTTGCCTTGTGTGGCATTTAAATCTGCACCATTATGGTAAATGACTGTACTGTTGGATGCTTGTTGAGGTCAGACTCACAGTGTAAGACAGCTCAAAGAGGCGAGCTTTCCCCTCTCCCTGCATCATTTCTGCCAGGTCAAACAGAAAGAAAGCTGTCTTCATCCTGAAACAAAGCACACAAGCTCAGGGCTAAGTGCTGGATGGATGAGCCATGCAGATCCACACTCTCGCACGCACCACTCCAATGGAGTGATTTATGTAGATGCCACCACCAAATAGAATGTACATGTAGATGCTCTACCACACAAGACTGGTTTATGGAGATGCTCTAAGGGGCTAGGATGCATCGTGACGCAGCTTTTTATATGCATGCTATAGTACACAACCAGTAAAAAGTTTACTGTACCTGGCTTGCCACATCTCCTCATTAGCGACACGCTCCCAGGACGCAGGATGGAAACTGTTCACACACACAAAAAATGTCTTTATCTAAAGTGCTGCAGGCATTAGCTTGTGCACAGTTCCACTAACTATAAATGATTATTTATGTGAATATATTGTTCCACCCAACTGTGTAGGTTTTGATACACTAAACATCAGTGTTTGCTGCATAAACATTAAATGACTGAGCAACAATACCAGCTAGCACATTAGACATGGAGTAAAACCACATCTCCCGCTTTTCACTTTGTTGACTGCAAACACTTGACCTCTTCTTCAAAAGAATATTTTAGCAGGGTTCCCGAGCTAATATTTGGCTTGCGGGCATCGGCGGACACGCTTGTCGTGAGGGCGCAGGAAATAATGTCACAGTATTCAGCCGTGGATATCTGAGTGAATGAAGGGCTGCTGGCAACAGCAACAAAATATGGAGCTTTGACTAATTCCACTTTTGACACAGCTATTGACAAAACGCAATAAGAAACTCATTATTTTTCAACTTCAGTCTCATTTCAAATGGCCAAAGGCCTAATGTCTTGCTGTGGTTGAATTCACAAAGAGCTGTATCACAGCATGGAGGACAGAGGGACGACCTCACTGAGGGAAGCTCTGTGGAGTCTGTGGAAGAACTGAGGATCACAGAGAGATGAGGGGGCGAGCACACCTGTTCTGCTGTTGGTGACACAATACGTGATGATGACTACTTGGGTGAATGTTTCTAGTTCCTTGTAAAGATGATAAGTTGTTTTTAATGTTGGAGGTTTCTTCTGTTAAAGGGAGTTTTTCTCCCCACTGTCGCTAAGTGGTTTTTCCTCTATGATATTAATAATAGTAAGGTCTAGACTTCACTTTGTAAAGTGTCCTGAGATGACCTTTGTTGTGATTTGGTACTATACAAATAAAATTGAATTAAATTGAATTGAATGTGCCACAGGGGTTGACCAATAGCTCTACTCCAAAAAAAATTGCATCCTGCAAATTTAATCCATTTAAGCTTCACTAACTCGCCAGTGGGAAAGTCGTTACGAACTCATACTGTGGAGCCAAACACCATTTGAACTTTATTTATAATTTCCCAATGTTTACTAAGATATTAAATACTGTATGTCATGCTGAACTTCAGAGAAACGTGTACAAAATAATTCACTGTATGAATATTATGGGTTATTTTCTGTATGCACCTGTTGTGTGGCTCACTCCAGTTGTAGATGTTGCGAGTACGCTGAGCCCACTCTTCTGGGTGAAACTGCCTCTGAACAGGCACTAAGTAGTCACACACACCCAGGGGCCAGCGAGTGAAACTACGCTCCCAGCTTGCATCTCCATTAGGCAGCCCAATACAGGCAAACACATCCCTCCTGCAGAGCAAACAGACACAAACAGTCACTGAGACAACCAATCAGATGGAGGCATACACACATCCTCTATTATCATCTCCAGGTAGCTGTTGACAGGACATGCAGAAACAGCATGTAGACAAACATTACATCCCTACATCCCACACCTTCTAGCTCTAACCCTGAGGGTTAATCCCACAGGCCAGGGTGGCCCCACTGAGAGACTGTCATGTTGGCCTGGCAAACACTGCCCCCTGGTGGGCTTGGTCTTAACAAGTCTCCCTCAAGTTTCTGGGCTTCAGTTCCTCCAGGAGGAGTGAGTGGTGAGAGCAGAGAGCAGCAACGAGTTCGCCAGAGGCTGAATAACCAAATCAAGTAGATTAATCGACTTCTCCAGTTCATCAAACTCCTCTTACGGCCTCAACAGTTCTATGGGTTTATCTCCTCTCTGCACTCACCGTTGTGTCAACCATCCTACTGATCTGTCTCATTAGATGACCCACTTGTTCATCTGAACCACTGTTGCCCTCCCAATTCAGTCCCTTTCCCTTAACATCCTTCCATTTACCTATTCAGACCATCCCTTTAATCCTTGTCTGCTCTCTCTCTACTCCGTCCACCAACTTACTGTGTGTTGCGGGACAAAAAGTGCTCCAGGGTGAAGGTGCCTTTGTCCTCAGGGTGGGCCGGGTCCCACCAGTGGCCAGGAAAGTGGACCCCAGGGAGGTGCTGCGCCAGCTTGGCCACATACCAACTGTATGTCATCATCTAGGAAAAAAAAAAAAAAAGTACCACCAACTCTGTTCAAAACCACTGTGATTAGCAGTTATAAATTACCACACAGAATACAATTCGTTTTAAGAGAAGGATTTATTTCAGTGGCTTTAACTCCATATTTGAATTTATCAAAGGTGTTTTTCTTTCCTTGCTGTTCCTTAAAAGAATTGGAGGCTTTTGTTTTCTCTTCTTATTTTTTCTTTTAATCCACTGTGAGTGTGATGTTGTTAAAGAGGCACACAAACCGATGACATACATAATGACTACAACTGAGAAAGCCTGAAAGACACTCCCGCACATCAGTAATTCATGCTTTTTGTCTGAATTTTAGTCAGGTTTCACGCAGCCAACGCATATTGCCATGTTGTCCAAGAAGATAAATTGCCAGAGTAATCATTTTCATCACTAAATCTTCCCTTTCTTTTTGGAAATAAGCAAATCCTCCTTTTCCAAATCTTGCTTCCTTGACAACCAAAAGAAATTGAATTTTGTCATAAATAAAGTTTCTCAGGTTCTACTATAACATGGAGAACAAAGAAAATAAACACATAATGTAATAACATCAGTTTAATTCTGTGTTCTTCTATTTTTATATCTATGTGTGCAATACTACCTTGACTGTGGTCAGAGGGAACTTTTACTTTTTTATTTTGAGTTGGTTTTTGGTTCTGAAATAAGACTAAATGTTTCCTTTTAATATGTACCAAATATCAAAACTTCAGTGAGAACAGTTCTAGACTCAACATAGACAAGGGAGTGGAGATATCACAGCTCTGACCTCCTGATCTACCAGACGTACATCGGGCCGTACGCCTTGGCAGTAGTACAAGTAGCGCAGCGAGTTTCCAGGCAGATCTCCTCTGGTCAGGATGATCGAGTCTTTTGGGACGGAGGCCAAAAGTTCCCTGCCGAATCTCTCCACCACACTGTTACCGCTCTGATCACACTCCCTAAGATCATCAGCACACACACCATCACAGTGTATAAAATCAGCACAGCAGTTGTGTTTGTCTGCAGTTAAAAAGGGGCTGAGTGCATCCTTACTCCTGCTTAGAAGTGTGTGTGATGTGTGCAACTGTGTGTGAGGGTTTGTGCAGCAGGTACGTCTTCAAGGTGCTCTGAGGGTAAGTTGTCAGTGCCCCCGCCCCTTCCCCTCTGCAGAACGCTCTGCCTGCCTATCTAATTATGGGGAGACAGGTGTGATGGGTCTGACAGTACAGGCCATGCTCTCCCCTTGATCAAAGCCGCTCAGTGATGGCTGTCTGGCACTCCCCAGCACTATGCTGGTGTAATCTGCATTCTCGGACAGCTAATATCTCAGACTGAGCTCTGTGAGTGGAATCTATGTGCTAAGCGTGCCTGCCTTTAGCCCCTACCATGGGGTGAGCAGAGAAAAACCTGACATGTGGAGCTCAGACCTACAGTGTGACGCACGGAGGAGAAACAAATCAGGTTGACTCAGGGAAAAGTTATGCATGGGGATCTTAGAAGGAAGTAGAATGAGTGGAGTTTTTAAGTTAACTCTGACTAACTCTGACTTTGGGTCCGACACAGTTACTGTCAGAGAAATGCTATAAAGTAAAACTATATAAAATTCAAAGCCAATGAAACCACATACACAATATACTGTAAGCCCACTGACTAGATTACCAGTTTTAATTTGACAGCTCTGTCATCCACAGATAAATAAATGTGTAGAAATGTTATAATTTCATTTCATTCATAAAGGTTAGCATCAGCATTTTAATCTCAGATGCATTAAAGCCCAATATGTTGTCATTTACACAAAAAACATATATTGTTCTAAAACTGCACTGTAACTTTTCTTCAGACCCCACAGTAAGTTTGCTACTGTAACTGAAGGCATGGCAAACCTGTGATTGGTGTGCACCATATGTGCCAGCAGAGCCATAGTGAGGAGCCAGCCTGTGGTCTTCCACACCCCCCCGTGGCCCAGCCTCCGCTCCAGCTCAGCGCGAGTCCGGCTCAAGCCGAGGCCTGCCAGCACACACAGCACAGCGTCACTCTGGAGCCAGAAACGCTCAACCTGTGGGGAGTGAGCATATGCCTGTACACATACAAACCAGTGTTTTCTGTTTCCTCAGTCCAGCCCCAGGTTCAATAATGGACCCACTCCAGGATAAGTACCATTGTTTCAGGATATGTGCATTACCATACCTTCTATGCAGAGTACTCACACACAGAAATTTGTGGTGTAATTGCAATTGTAACTCTATCTTCAAGCAGACTTCTAGCCCACTGCAGATACAGATGGCTAAGAGAGAGGATGGCAGAATAAGTTAAGTCTCTATGCTCACCACTCCAAGCAGTAAGGGTCTGCTGATATCCAGATTGGCTCTCCAAGCAAAAAACAGAGAGTAGACCACCATCATGGCGGTCAACAGCCAGGGCACCGGGCGACATGCCCTTGGAGAGAAAAAGGCCATGTGACAACTAGTTATTTAGCATATAAATATTTTCATTTTCATCATCAATTCATGTACTGAGTTATTTCAATATATCTAATCTAATGCATTATTTAGACTCTTTACTTGTTTTGAATAAGTCCATAAAATACTAATGAAAGGATGGAGATCACAAGCCTAAGAGCAAATGTACTGTATATGCCAGTCAAGTCAAGAAGTGCGTGATTGATTTCCTAATACAGGCTGAGTCATAATGAGCTGGTGCCAACCACTGAATCACAAACTCATTACAGTGCAGCTGTAAAATTTATGTATACACTAAAAAGGAAACACGTTATCCTTGTGGCAATAACAAATCATCATTGGAACCTGAAGAGACACTTTCAAGCCAGAGACAATTACTTTTGGTTTTGCTGCCAGCAGACTCCTCTGATGGTTTCCAGTGGATGGTCACTAACACACAGTCAAGCTTCCTGTTGTCATTTCAGTTGTCATTGCCTAAAAGCTGTTTCACTCAACAAACTGCATTTTATATTTTCCTGGCATTCTTTGGAATTACCCTGCTCTTTTTCATCTGTGTGTGCATGTAGCCAAGTTGGTCAAAGTGCGCCCCAGGCAATGGGGAAGCATGGGGAGACTGGTGGCCACAGAGGCCTCGGACTTGACCGGGCTTTATCATTTCCACCCAGTAGTCACTGCTGTAATAAATTATTGCATCACACCGCCACACGCAGATACATACAAGCAGCAGTTTAACTTGTACACACAAACAGGTTTTTAAAATTCCAAAATGCACATCAGCCTCTCCTGATTTGAATGTGGAGCGTTGCGACAGCTTGACAGTTAGGTGCCTCAGTGGTTTTTTTGTATCCTTTTTTCTAAGATCAGCATTTTGTCAGTGGTTTTGTTTGCTGTCTTTTACTCCGGGGGGATTAGATTTGTGGTTGAAGTGGCTGCTGAGATGTGTGTGTGTGTGTGACAGAGTTTAGTGTGTTGCACGTCTGCATCTCGCTTGTCCTACCTGTCCCACGAGGAAAGGAACAGGCCTGTTCCTGCCAGCACCAGAACAGGAAGGGATAGGTCCGCAAGACAGTGGTCCATCTGGGCCCTGCACTCACAAACACCAAAAACAAGCTCAACTGCACTTCCTGTTACTAAACTTATTAAACGCCCTACATCCCCTATCAAAACTAACTCCTTGGACTGTGCACTCCTCCTTTCAATTGGCTTGACAGATACAAATGACTGTGTCATCCACCCCCCACTGCCCCATCCTCTCCTCACAGCGTCTGTCAGTCACAGAGCGCTTGCTCAGAGCAGAGAGATAGTTTCCTGCCACTTCCTTAATACCCATCTCTATTTGACAGCTTATTGAGTCTCTATATCTTCCAATGTACACTATGTGTCAATGTGCTCACAAGCGTGTTCGTGAGTGTGTGTGTGTGTCAGCTTCTCCAGCGGGTTTACGTCTCCACTGCGACATGCCTGTCATGTTAGCCTCTCTTCCCAGTCTTGAAGGTGTGCTTGTCCATCAAGCAGCAGGGGTGATGGGAAGGGTTGGGTGCCTGCAGGGAGGGAGCTGGTAGTGGCGCATCTTAAGATGCACATACACCCCCATCCCCGCCAGCTGGAGAAAGATACCAGGAGTGGGATGACTGCGGTGGTGGTGGTAGCGGGGAGCAAATCGAGTGGGAGGTGGAGGGGCGGGGTGCTGGAGTAGAAAAATACAATTTCTCCAGCTCTCTTGCAGTGTCTGTCATCACAGCTTGTCACGCTTAAACACCAGAGCTGAGTGATCATTTCAAACTGCTGGAGAAACAGAACACAGCGATTTGGCCCTCTAAGCAGGTTCAGTTCTGCTTTGATGGGAGAGAGTGGAACGGGAAGAACAAAAGCTGCTGGGGAGAAGAGAGGAAGAGACGGGCTGCAGAAACGACCGGGCTCTCGGTATAGTCTGCTGTGTCTGTGGTCAAACCTGTGTAAAACACCAGAACCAGGGCAAAACGTGGTTGGTCTGTACGCTACAGATCAAATCCACCCAGTTTGCTCTGCGCGCTCTCAGCTCTCTCTTAGAATCAAAGTTCAAAGTAAAAACAAAACACCAAAAACAGACTGCCTACTACACTCCTGGTCAGATGGAACAAGCTATTTAAAAATGCTCTGATTTTAAGGAAACTGATAAGACATTTTCACTATTTTCTTACATTTAATAAACTTAATTATTCATTAATTACCCATGTCATATCCTGTATTTTTCTAGAGCTGTGATTAATCAATAAATATGAATGTAGAGTGAATGTAGAGTTTGAAACTGGCAAATGCAATAAGCCAGTTGTGTTTTGCATTTCAAATATGTGAGCAACTTAAAAATGCTAAAAAATAATGACAAACTTACTGTAGCATTGTGGTCAAGTTCACAGAACTCTCAGTCTTTGCCTGCAAACACAAAACAAGTCAAATTCATCAACATTTGTATGAAAGATAAAAGGAGCACATATAGGGATTAAGTTTATGAACAGCACGTACTAGACTGAAGGTGCCATATTCGGCCCTCAACAGGTGGGTCATCAGGCCTGACAAGGTGGTCTGATCCCCCCAGCTCCAGCGCGCTGTGTTCAGGTAGGAGGAAATGGGTAGGTAGGTGTAGGGCAGAAAGCCAGCAAGGAAACACACTCCCAGAGACGTAAGGCCATGAAGAAACAGCTCCTGCCGTGATCACATGGGACAATTGTTCTCAAACTTCTTAATGTTCCCTTAACACTAAGATTAAACCATTTCTGAGTTGGTTTGGGATCTGTTAAAGAATCTCAAACTTCTCTCAAACATCTAAGTGGCTTTCTGATCTCATTTTGGTTGACAAAGAAACCACCGGTGAAAAAGGGTTTTGAGAGAAATTTATCTATGTTAGAAAAACTGCTCCCATGCTCTTTTTCTTAGATGAATCACTTTCATTTGTATCAGTCGATAAGTTTTCATTGAAGTATTTTTTACGGTACTGTCCATAAAGTCATGTGCCAAAAAAGTGTGATCTACAACTGCTGACTGAACACAGCTATAGGTACAAAGGAGAAACCAATTTTCTTGCCTATCCTGAGATTTCATACACACACATTTGAATCGTCTTTTACAGTATGTGAGTTTTGATAATAACATCTCAGGGCTTACCTTGTGACAGAAGAGCTGATGAAGGACCCAGGGAATGATGACCAGTACATAGAGTACCAGGGTGTGCTGGTTACAGAGCCCAAAGCCACAGCATAGCGCCCCCCAGTGTGCAATCTGATGAGGGCAAGTCAAGCAGTGCAGTACCGTGAGCTCAGTCTGAAGATTTCTTAACATAAAGCATCTAAAGCATGAAGAGAGGGAAGACAGCCTTCTAGTGATGGTGTGGATGTGTTGTACCGACTTGCCTTCCTCCTCTGCAAGGCGTTTTCAGCACTGTGGAAGCTAGCGGTCAATGAGAAGAGCAGACCAACAAAAAGGTTGTTGAGGGTGAAGACCTCTGCCACCGTGGACCACTGCCAGCTCAGTCTGGACACAGCAAACAGTCCTCCAGCCAGAACCGCTCCAGGACCAGGACCTGCCAACCTGACAACGAGGAAGAGGTGGCATGTATGATTATATAGAACCTTAGAAAGTTTTGTGATGGACCTTTTGGTTGTAGTCAGTTTTAAAAGCTACAGAACATCCAGTGCTTTTTTACATTATTTGGTCAAACTTAAACTAGAGCGACGCAAAGAAGGGAAAACAACACAGTCAGCAGACTCATAAAGTTTAAATTATGCACCTCCCTCAGACTAAATTGAGGACCCATTATAATCTCCCTACGACCAAAGTGTGCGTCCCACGCAAGACCTTGAAAAACACACTCAGTGAATTGGGGCTATTCACAAATCATGAGAAGTTCCTCCCCAGCAGCTGGCTGAACTCAAACGGACTGGCACACAAGCCACCGTGGTACAGATAGCACTTTATCCTCAGCTTCTTAAATATAATGTCTGAACTAAATGTTTTCCACTTCCTCCTCTCCTGTACTGTCTCCATCTCCTTTGCAGTAATTGAAGCAAACTTGGGATAATCTGTCATATGCTAAGACCCACCACTTATTAAAATGAGAGACAGAGGAGGAGAGAGAGAGAGAGAGAGAGAGAGAGAGAGAGAGACAACAAATGATGGGGAGAAGGGGAAGAAAAGAAAAATATTGCAGAGAAGTGTGCATTAAAAGGGTGATAAAGTCTGCGGGATGAAGGATGAAATATAGAAAAAGGAAAAGTTCAAAAAGAGATGAAGAAAAAAGAAAAGAAAAAAAAAAGCAGCCCGGTCCCCAGCATGCTGGCTCTGAAATATGAGCAGGCTCGACAATTAGGGAAGTCAGGCAGTATGGCCCTTTCCACCATTGTGTGGAGTGGCTTAGAGTCCTCATCAGCCTATCAGCTAACTGACAGGCAGAGAGCTGCTCTATTCAGCACTGCAGATACAAGCTGCAGGCCAAACGGCTGCCAGGTCCCTTATGACCCCACAATCCCTTGCCGGTGACAGCTTCAAGCTCCATAGCAAATTAGGCGCTCTCACATTACAATCGCAGAAGACAGATTCCATTAACGGTATCTGAAATTGAGTAGAGAGCAGGCCCGTTATCAGACCTGACTCATAAGCACCGCCATTAATCACAAGGCATGATACCATTTATACATTTCCAGCTCTCTGCCTGCCGCTGTGATAGTCAGCCACAAAAGGCCTGATGAGACTTAGGCTAGGGGAACAATGGAGCTTTCTGAGGAAAGCACAGTAAATCAGGAGAAAAAGGAGAGGGAGAGCGAAAGGAGGGTAGAGAAAAGAAAACTCTTGCTTGCTGACTACTTCCCCCTTTTTTCTTAGGTTTTCTGTCGCCTACGCTCTACTATTTTTCCTATGTTCGCTGTAAAGCAAGCTTGGTGAATGTGGATGTCTGTGTGTGCATACTTAAAGGGGGGAGGCGAACTGTGTTGATGGAGCGTCTAGGAGTGGGTCTTAATAAGAGATAGCAACGCTTTTCTTGCTGCAACGCTCCAGGAATTAGTTGTGACTTGATGGAAGGATGAAAAAAAAAAGGGGGGGGGGGCAAAAGGGCACTTTTTTTATGAGTCCCCCCACCACCACCACTTCCATCGCACCCATAATTTTATCTACCTGCATGACAATTAACCCGTATCTCACACACTTAGCGGGGGGCTGGTTTAAGGGTAGCACAGGGTGCAGAACAGTCGTGGGGATCCACGGTCAGGGTTATTACACCAAGACTGTTCCAGCTTCTGAAAGCTTGAGATGCACACGTGCACACATACACGCGCATTCCTGTTCTTTGACTTCTTTATTCTCCTTGAGTGCCTGACAAATCTCTCTGTTAGAGCTTGTCAGTCCATAAGAGCCCAGTGATGTGTGTACAGTGTGGGCTGTAAATGACCTGTCTGTCTGCGCGGGACCACCTGGGTCCCAGTCAGCCTCTCCTCAAGTCATTCTCCAGGCTGGCTGCTCCCAGGGCACCCAGATAAAGCAGGACACATTCTGACATCAGTGTGGCCGTGTTCCCAGTTATCATGCCTCAATGTGGTGCAGAATGCTGCTGTGCTGAAATGCTGTGGCTCAGTGACAATGGCCCGGTTGAGACATGGCAGGAGAATAACACGGCTGACAACGACACTATTCTACCCTGAACTGATCCATCCTGCCAATGTGTCATCACTTGGGTAATTAACTGAATGAGAAATATTATGCATAGAGCATGGAATGAAACACAAGCTTGGAAATAATGTAAGAGAGGTTAGAAAAGAAAATTGCCTCTTTTTTTTTTTTTTAGCAAAATATTATACACAGGGAATGAAAATTATCCAATGCAAAACAAGTGGAAGCACAGGTTTAAATGGAAAAATTAAAGGTAAATAAAAAATAATAAATGGCAATGACAGGCTCTGGAGAGCAGTGATGTCCCCTTCAAGGACACAACAAAAGCTCAGTACAATCACTTTGAACTTACAAAATGGGACGTGCATTAGTTACCCCCTTGGTTCTACAGTATGGGCTAGAGATATGCCTGCACCAGTCGTCTGTGCTAAATAACAGCACACAAAAAGCCTACACAGCACTCTGCGCTGAATGAGGCTTCACAATGGAGCTGGCCAAGGGAGCCACTGTCACACACCACCCCAGGGAACAAACAATACCACAGCTCTGCCATCACAGATCAGCACCGCACTGTTCTCTAACCGAGTGGTGGTTTGGGAAAGCAGCACTGGAAAAGAATCACACATTCCTGAAGAGGGTAGACAGCCCGAGAGAGGAGGTGGCCCGCTCGAGCCGAGCCTGCAGTTTCCAGCTGGCCCCCGCTCATACCCCAGGTCTCTCCTCTGGCCAGGACTCCAGGCAGGGTACTTAGTGGCTATTATATGACAGAGGCAAGTGTGTGATGCATTGTTTGAAAAAATCAAAGCCAAGTAGCAATTGATATATAAATGAAAGCCTTGAAATGACATTGTGTGTGTGTGTGTGTGTGTGTGTGTGTGTGTGTGTGTGTGTGTGTGTGTGTGCGCACACGCGTGTGAGAAAATCAAATAGAAAATTCAGCTTGAAATGGGCACGGATTTTACACATTTAATACAGTTTACTCATCACACAGATAGTGTGTGACAAACGAAAGCTTTTCAAAGTTGGAAAAAAATACATTTCAGCTTTTGGAGAGTTGGAAAGACGGACATTTACCAAGCAGAGATATTTTAACAAAAGATGCTGCCAAGTTGCATTATGGGAAATGTAGGAGCCAATGTTTTGAGGGCTTGACCTCTATTTGACTCTAAATTTCAAAGTTATCTTTGTCTCTTTTCATTTGATTTTGCCAATTCTTATTAAAATTTATCTTTTTGAAGCCTCCCAGCATTGTGGAAATGCAATATTAAATAACCTTTAAATTAATGAGTTCAAGTTACATTTTTCTTTTACATGTGTTAAGAGCACAGTGGAACAAAATGAATTTGATTAATTTTATATGTAATTTAGCAGAGATTTGTCATTTTATGAAAAATACTGATGTCAGGAAGAAATCTCACTAATATAATGATAGATTTTAGCCATATTACCAGGCCTTGTAATGGATATATTACTGATTTCATTAAATACATCAAATTACACATTTATATGTTGACTATTGCATCCTTTTCATTTTTCAAAAATCTCCTACCTTCCCAAAGAACAGTCATCACCCACATATTGTCACATTATCAATACTGAGGTAAGAAATTTCAAAAGCCCTAATCAGTTACTCCAACCGATTTTCAAAAACTATATATTTGAATACTGGCTGCTGCAGCGAATCATCAGTCTATGCACTTCCTTGTATGTCCTGCCTCATCGGCCCTGTGCTGCGGAGGCTGTCTGCGTGTACAGAGAGGAGGGTAAATTGCCCCAGCTCTGCTGCTTAGACAGCCCTCCTCCAAAAGAACACTCTAGTGCTCCAAGTGCGTGTAAAATTAATCACCACAATTCTACTCAAACAATGCAGCTACTGACATGACAATTTCTCCCAGAATGCCATCTTAATCTGCACCCAACACACAAAAATTACAGGACAAGAAAAAAAAAAACAATTTGCAAAAATCCTGCCTTTATGCAATTCACTGAATGCCTGGTTTTTTCATTGCTGTTCTTTTTCCAACAAAGTCATTAGGCACACACCAGTGATACATAAATGTAGCTGTACATATTCCATTAACTAATTCTGGGTGAACTGTAATTGCCGAGTCTGATCTGTCTCCGTGCCTGGTGCCTTATTAAGACTGCCTGTGGTGGGTGAATCAAATCAAATTTTATTTGTATAGCGCCAAATCACAACAAAAGTCATCTCAGGACACTTTACAAAGTAAGGTCTAGACCTTACTGTTATCAATATTATTACATAGGGAAAACCCAAAAAATCCCCCTTGAGCAAGCACTTGGCGACAGTGGGGAGGAAAAACTCCCTTAAGAAGAATGTAATATTGACGTCCGAGGCAGACACAATCTCAGGCCCACGGGCGAAAGGAAAATTAACATGGTACTGCATTCTACTGTCTATCTAGCCCTCCTCCCTCCTCCTCTCTATCCCCATCCCATACAGTAATGAGGAAATAACATCTTCATTAGACATCTGTTTAACTGTATTAGAGGATGAGTCCTGGGGGAACCATTGGTCATGCTGTGGATGGGAGAGTAAAAGATGTCTGTTGGACGAGATGCTTCAGAAATGGAACAAAAGGTCCAGAGATTAGGGCATTTTGAATATACAGACCTAAAATTGTCTTCTACAGAAAACAGGAATGGCTGTATTCTCTGTTGGAATGAAGCTTTTATCCAACCACAGCAGATGTGAGAAGGAGGGGAAGCCTTGCTACCTACAGGGAGAGGTGGGAATATTATCGAACAAAACAACTCTATTTAGTTCCCAGGATATCACAACAAGTACTGAAAATGTCTATATAAAAAAAAAGACTATACAAATGATTACAAAGAACATTCCACACACTGCTCCTGACATGACCCCAACAACATACATGCTATTCCACTCCTGTGGTGGGAAAAAAAAACAAAACAAAAAAAACACCTGAGCAAATGTGGAAGGTGCCATCAGGACCATATGGTGAAGGTCCTTATAAGGAGCTGGGGAGGCAGCACAAGGCAGGCGAGGGCACGGCGCCCATTCTCCGGTCCACTGAGGTATCAGCTGTGCCACATGGGCCATGCTCTTGGCGGGGGAGCCTCTCACAGGTGTACATTTTCTTTGGAGGGCCGGCAGGGAAAGAAGCGGCCAGACACATTTGGTGTGCTTCGTCAGTCCTGTTATGTAATCATGTGATCAAACAAAAAGCGCTGATGACTGAGCGTTGCAAGGTTGTTTTTCTGCTCTGACGGCTGTCAGCACACTAACGTGTCTGCTCCTGGTTTCTCAGGATAAGCCCTGGAATGGAGAGAGATTCCTTTCAGGTAGCAGAGATTCAGAGCAGCTTTAGAAGATAAACTGTGAGACAAGAGAGCACAGAATACCGAGCTGTCTGGATTATCCCACTATGAAGGGTGCATTCCTCTAGAAACTCATGGCTAAGGCCTTTAGCATTCCACAGTCCAGATGTTTCTGTGAACCTCCAAGTGCAATCGATAGTAATTATCGCTACATCCGCCATCCTCAAAGGCTTGTCAGGCTACGGTGTGAAAACATAATCAGACATGCAATTTGGCCATCAAACCATACGATCAGGCCAAGAGAACTATAATTGAAAAGGGAGGCTAAGTGATACGTTTAAACTTATGCAAGAGAGAGAAGTGGCTTCCAAGTCTATCTTCTTACATTCCCCCACATGAAACACCGCAATCTGTCCGACTAATTTAAACTGATGCATCAAAAGCTTGCCATGTTGGGTATATTCCAGATGAATTTCAAAGTCTTATGCTTTACTACTGAAGAAAAACTGCCTTCAAACACCTGTATTAACTTCAGTACATTTAGCCATCTGAAAATAATCACACAAAGCCATGATTTGTTTGGGGAGATAAAGTCTCAGTAGATGCAAACCTAAAAATAAGAAGCAGTGAAAAGGTTTATGGGGCCCTCAAAGAGACAAAAAGAAAAAATCATTTTAGAATTTTATCATGTTCGGAAGATACAGGGCAAACTGCTGTGACTACATGAACAAAGCAGGTATGGATGGTGTCATCTGCTCAGGTTTGACATTCCATCTGAGGGAAAGGCCAGCGAGTCCCCACAGAGATATGGCATGATATCTATGCACACCTTCTTAATATGGTCAACAGACCCAATGCCTTCTGTGAAAGGGAGGTCTTGACCATCCAGAAACCCTCTGCCCACACCCCCATCATTGCTCTCTCCAGTAACCCCTCAGCAGACAGACTCTGCCAGCTGATCTACAGCCACAAGCCCATCCCAAACTAGGTCCTGAACAGATAACGACTAAAACCTTTTATGCTTATTTTTCAAATTGAAAGTGTAGATTATACATTTATACTTAGGAGCTTATATGATGTGACTGCGAGCTATGGCTGAACTCCTCACTACCAATCAACGCTTGTTGGGGTGGGCAGGGGTTGGGGGTTGGGGGGGATTTGAAGGTCCTCATAATGACTTTTTACTTGACCATAATCCAAAATTATATCTAAATCCTCAGAGATTACAGACATGGCTACGGTTATCATGTGTACTGGGAGCTAAATATCACCCAGACTGGCCTCAACGTAACTGTCTGTACATGTCTGGCCAGGAGCTGATTCCAATCCTCCAGCTGACTGGTAACTCATCAAAAACATTAAGACCAGGCAGGGCAGAAGGGATACACAGCCAAAAAGCCCCAAAGGCACAGTCTTACTTCCATTTCTTTTTGACCTCTCTTTATTTTTTCCTCTCCCCTGTCCTGTGCTGGGCACACTGGTGGAAATTGACAGGTTTAGATTCACCTCTGAGGGGCAGTAAGGAAAAGCATGGTATAAGACTGATGCAGCCTGGGCTTAGGGCCAGGCCCCTGGAGAGCATTTCCTTCCCAGCCCCTGACCTACTCCAGCAGAGTTGACCCTATTCTATCCAGACCACCTGCCACTGGCCAAGCACACAGGAAGCAGACACGGTACTGAGAACCTGGGAACACACACACAACTCCATTTTCATTTGGCTTTCCCCACCACTGTCACTGGGTCCTCACTGCCTGAAGCAGGAAGATGTAAGGTAGGAAGCCATTACATCATATTCAACTATTCCTATTCTGCAGGAGTAAATCAGAAGTACATAAAATGCTTTGGAAATGTCCAAGTATGCATAAACAGTAACAGAAAGGAAAATGTTGACACTAAGCTGCCACCAACAATACAATGTGGAAAATGACTAAGATAAGGAAAAGGGTGATGTAAGGTTGTCCAGCCAACCATGTGAGATAAACACACACACAAAGAGGGGATGGGTAAAATACTCCTTACATGATGGGGTCAGCAGCAGGCGAAACTGCAGGGTGGCGGATGGCAATGCAGAGACCGTAAAGTATGCCCAGGACTGAGCAAGGAGAGAGGTGGTGGAAGAGAAGGGAAAGGGAGGAGCGGAGTTAGTGATCCTGTTCCTTTCAAACCCAGGAGGCAAGGAGGGGAAGATGAGAAATCGTGCCATGTCAGGATTGGGGGCATGCTGGGCAGTGGGGTGGAAAGAGAACAGGGACATGGGAATGGGGGTTGGAGGGTACGATAATTGTGATATACATACACACACACGCACGCTCACCGTAGGCGGTTGATGTGTAAACAGGCAGGGTAGGGTGGTAGGGAGGGAGGAGGGAAAAAAAACCACTGCCAGTCAGACTGGACCCAAAAATACAGTTCTCTGTTCCAGACAGCATCAAGAAACAAAAATTCAGTAGGGAATAGTTTAAAGATCCCCTCCACTCAAACAAGTCTTTTTCTTAATGTTGCTTCCCTCAGATTATTTGACTTTTACTATATAGACTGTGTTATCAACCAGAAGGCTCCTCTACTGAAGGACAAAGGCTTCTCTATACGTCCTTGAAATCTGAGTGTGACACATGCACATACAAGCACAAATTTGAGGTCTCTAGTAGGGAAACCAAGCATGAGAAGGAACTACTCTGTAAAACTGCTTTCTTTGCTTTCAGTTAGGTCGGGGATTGGAAACTCTGTAAGCATTCACTAAAATCAAAGCACAGCAAGAGAAGAACACATATATATCGAACAAATTGTGGGAAATGACCCAGGAATATGATATTTCCATGTACCTACCTGCAGACAGTCATACAGAGAGCACCACAGGCTGCAGCCCCCAGCAGGCTACTCATCAGGTTGACACTGTGGGCTGGAGAGAGCCAGGGCAAGAGACACATAGCCAGTCGAGCTAGTAGGGTGAAGAGAGGGTATCCTGGAGGATGAGCCACCTAAACACACAGTGACAAAGTCAAAGATCCAAATCCAGATGCTCAATGAAAGATATATTTACAGCTTAAAGAGAATAGAACATAAAACAGGTAATGTTTCACTGAAGATGTGCCTGAGTGGGAAGCCGGTTGAGATGGTCAAAGTGCACAGAGTCTACTTTGCTTTGAAAAGATAGGAGAAAGTACAAGAGATCATTGTAAGTACAAAGCAAGAAAGAGGATAGAAGAGGTGACCACTGAGCAGGAGTATGACACATGGTGTTAAAGACCTGTAAAATGTGTTATTATCAGTGGCTATGCAGTAAATCTAGCTGCTCTTCAGCCCTCACTAGATGACAGCAGTAATGGTGAAGAGTCAGCCACGTTCTGCCTGCACACTGCTATGATACCACAGCCCTCCTCTCCCCCTCATCCTCTCTCTTCTCACTTCTTTTGCTCCGTCTTCTTCCCAAGGACAGTGCAGGTCCCTAGAGCCCATGGCAGAGCACGTGGTGCTCGCCAGCCACAGCCCCCAAACCACCTCCAAGCCTCCAAGCCTCAGTCATTCTCGCCTGGGGGATCTCACCAATCACAGCAATTAGTCGCTAAGTCTCCTTCACCCAGATAAGAGCTCAGTCATTAAACACAGACTCACTCCCTGGCACTGATAACATGAGCCGTGCAGCCAGAGGGAAGGGGCAGCTCTTCAAATAAACACAAAGCTGAAAGGTGAGAGTGTGACTTAAGTCACTGGTCACCTCTAACACAGCAAAGGCTCTTTGGTTACATTCAGAGAATACAAACAGCTTCACCCAAATCTGATGGAAGTATTGAGAATGAAAGCGCAAAATTTAAGACGCAAAGAGAAAAAGTGATGATCTGAAGCAAGCGGATGGTTTGGTGTGTTCTTGGCATAACTAACTACAATGACAACATGAACTTGCTGAGGAAGGACTGTGTGGCTGCCAGAAATGGACAGACATGTAGCTAAAGGACAGCTGAGGGACAAAGGCCACAGGGAGCCTAGGAGAGCAGAACTCTGGAGCTCTGGGGATCAGAAGGGGGGCCCAGCAGCTCGGGACCCAGGGATGGTCTGTGAGGCCCTGAGGAGGCCTGAAAGGCAGACAGGCAGGCCACACGGACTGCAGCACTAACGGCAGGATTACTGGCATAGTGACACCGACACAGCCTCCCTAAAAGGATCACAGCGCCGTAATAAACTTTATTAAATAATAAAACTTATTATAACTGTTAACCCGATTTAGTTCATTCTTCGCGGCTTACACACACATACAAAAAAGAGGGGTGGATATAATAAGCCTGATACTGTACATAAGGCAAAGCCTACAAAAGCCATTGCCTTACCATTGACTTTAATTGGATTTGAAAAACGGGTTGCAAATCATAGCATTCTCTACTTGCAACTTAGTAAAATAAGTGTATAAAAAGAAGGGGGAAAAACCTGTGCACTGAAAGTAAATTAATCTGCTTTCTGCCCATGCTTAATTAAACTTCCTTAATGCTTATAAGAGTTAATGAGTGAATTGATTAAACAATACAGCTAATACTTACCCCCAGCTCACAAGCAGTGGTGATCAACTCTCCTGTGGAAGAGAAAAGGGGAGGAAATTAATATAAACCCAATAATTATTATTAAGAGACAAGTCTGTTCCCAAAGTTTTCCCAAATCAAATACTTGCACTGGGGTTTTGCATTAATTTGCCAGGATCAAAACCTGCAAATCTTCCCAGTGTGACATTTCCTAAGCGGCACACTCATTCTCTTCATCTCTTGCTTCTCCCCTGATGCCTCCCTCGCCTTCACACACACACACACACACACACACATAAACACAGCCACAAACCATGAGGCTCCCTCTCCAATGCTCTGTCACACAAAGACACACGTACTGTGTGCTGATCTGAGAATAATGCCTCCATTCCCATCCTCCCCATGCATCAGGGTCCTTTCCCTTCCTCTTTCTTTTGTCGCTCTACGTGCCTCTCTCTCCTGCTCCCACTCCCAGTGTCTCAATGTCTTATTTAGTCCGTTGGGCACAAGTAGAAAAAGCAACGTTGGTGACAGTCACAGAATGAGGTATTGCTGTAAAAATAAGAGTCGGCTGCACAATCTTTTGACAAGCTCTGTGTGAGGCACAGCACAAAGTGAAAAGAAAACCCCTAAAAGCTATTTCAGGATGCTTTAATGTATTTGGGCACAAACCCATTTGTGCCAGAGCGTTTCAAATTATACTGATTTCTCACCCAATGTTTGCATCTCCTACTCATGAAAATTGAAATTTCGTTCAGATAAAATGGCATTGATAAATGTCTGGGTTCAAGACAGCTCCCTCTACTGGTACTAGATGGGCAGTCATCCCCTTTACCCAATACAGTCAACAAAACTATGGGCTTTTCCTGCATCAATACAGACAGGATAATCAGTGTATTACTTCACCAGCATACAAGCTATGTAGGATATCTAGTAAATTAATGTAACATGTACAGTAAATTACACTAAATGTTTTCGTAGTTACACTATATTTTACAAGTTTATTTAAAAAAAATAAACAGGCTGGACTAATCTCCAGCGTCACAGCATATCAAAGCAGCATTAAAAAAAGCTAAATAATATATCTTATTACCTTAAAACCAAGCAAATGTGTTTTTCTATAGTCAGAATAAACAAAAAAAAAAAACTTGCATTGGAAGAGCAAGAACATGGGCCCTGTTCTTGCAGTACCAACTATAACAGAAGAGAACAGCTAAATTTCAGATGCACTGGCTGCCCAATGTATTTTGCATCCTTGCTGATACAGTGAATTATGATGCCTAAATTTCTACCACATGAGGAGCCCTGACTCTTATCAGTCTAATGGACCATGAAGGCAGAACTCCTCCACCTGCACAGCTTAAATGTTTTCACAGCTCCATTTCACCTGGCATGAGCCGCCAGCTACCTGCCATCATTTTACATCACACTTTCTCATCCTTCATCGCTTTCTCAATTCCACATATTTTCCCTCAGTAGTGGCACACTTTTACAGCAGTCAACACAAAAACCAAACTAATACCAAGCCAAAACATTCATCTCGGTGCCTCAGAGATGTAGTTCTGCAGCCCCAATACTAAAAAGGGAAAATATTGACTCAACAGGGTAGCAGCGTGGGTGCCAAGAGGCTTTGTGATAGTGGAGCATGGGCACCCACACCAGTCTTCCCGTAATCCCCATCATTTCCACACTTCACATTCCTAGACAACAGCATACCTGCAGGGCTGCGCTCAAGCCTCTCCAGGGCACATCACACCTAAAGAGATTAGGACACAGAACCGGAGACCTGGAGAATTCGGAAGGGTGTTCAGCTGGCACTATCAGAGCGGGCATCCTGCACCGTCCCTAAATGCTGTGGAGAAGGAGCTGGCCATTTTTTTTCCAAAGGCCCCGTTTGCTAGACAGCAGCCCAACCAGCAGGGCCACTCACCACTCCAGCTGCTTGCTCTCTCCTCACTCATATCTGGCCCAAGCTTTTCATATGCTTTCATTCTGCAATATGTGCAATCCTCTCTGCAGCAGCTTGTATGCCAGAGCAGTGCAAACCTAACAAGCAGAGCCTTCATGCCCTCAAGCCCACATTTACAAGTCTGTACCCTTGCTATCTCTTCTAAACACTGTTTGTAATTGTGCAAGACATTCCATTATAAACTACATTACGAAAATGTCAGAAAACATAGCAAGGTAGTGAGTGAAATGCATTTGGGTTTGCTGTTAAGCTTTGCTGCAGAAGTGTGCAAATTAAACTTAGGCATACACACAAAATATTGAGACAAGCAAGCAGTCAACAGTGCTTTGTCATTACAAAAGGTACCCAGAGGTCTTCTTGCAAATCTGTAAAAGGGGGGACATTCAGACAAAGTTAACTCTGCAATAACTTTATGAACAAGAAATTTTTGCGATAATTGACATAGTGTAATCTATACAGACATATCGTGATATTCACTGATACTTTATAATCATGTTGAACTGAATTGGATCAAATCTTTGTTTTTGTCCCTGACACTTGAGTATCATTACAAACCCTCATACATTCTTTCTACTGTCACAACTAACAATGAATTCCTTCTCAAACCAATAAATCACATGTACTAAAGTCAATACTCAACTATTAGTTTAAGCTAATAAAAACAATAAAGATAATGAAAACACACTTCACAAATCATGAACAACGAAGAAATAAATGGGAAAATTGGACACAGCTTATGAAATGCAAATGCTTGCTCACTATATTGACTGGACATGGTACAAAGGACGATGTCTTCTTGGTTATGTCTTTATCAGGAACCTTTATCAGATGTTCTATTTATATAGCTTCACCCAAAAGGTATTTTCTGAAATAAATGTACTCTACAGGCCAAATGCAATCAATGCCTTTTTCAAACATAGAGCAGACTCTGAAAAACTGCTCTGATGTGTGAGCTATAGATGCCTTTTCAGTGACTCCATCAAATCCTGGGATTACTAAATTAATTCTCTTATTTACAACTTCTTACTAAATGGCTTTTGAAAGTTCACCAAAATGGTGACATTCATTTCTACAGTTATTCAAAATTATCTGTTGGTTTTCCGAAAGATTCATGTTTGTCATGTTGTTACAAGTTTAGGTTTGTCACGCTGATGCACCTGTACACGCAGCACCGGTTCCATCAGCAAGGCGTTACGCGATTGGCTGTCAGGCAACAAAACAAACCCACGTGACGGGAGAAGCTTCATGCTAGCTGACTAGCACCAACCTGAGTCTCCACCGGGGATTGTCCTCTGCACGCAGGGCACATAAAGAGCAATTACACCAGCGATCACAGTGCCTGTCAGTACCCAGCTTGTCCTCCGCTCCGTAGACATGTTTATTTGTTTGTATAATTAGCGACAGCTTCCAAACAGACCCTAGCTAATGTCAACTAGCTTAACTTGCGAGATAACGTTACTAGCATCCATACAATGGAGGCGCTCGGAACTGTAAACATGACTCCGTAGCAACCAATTACCTGAAAACCGACGTGAGACTACGTTTGAGCTGTGTTAATGTAACACAAAGTAAAGACCTACGTTAATAGTTAGGTCGGGGAAGGAGCAACCTGATTTCACGCCGACGACCTAAACTCGCGATACTACCGGACGCGCCATCCATAAAAGTGAAACGAAGTAACTGATTTATTCCTACAACTGTCGCTGGATTAACATAATCTAATCTAGTAACGACACAGAAGACGAGTGTTTTTCCTCGTAAGTGGTGTACGTGAAAACCAGGCCAAAATGACTTCCTGGTTCGTTCACTACCACACTCGGGAAAGAAGAGCTGAGGTGGCTCTCCACCGAGCATACTGCAGACTGACCGGGCGGGAGGATGGGGTCTGCACCTGTTATCTGCATTGCAGACGTCTGCTGTTTCAGTGCAAATTCAAATTAGAATAAAAGTATAAACACATAATCCTCTGCATTTGTTCCACGTTTTCTGTTTCTTTAGCTTATTCTTGTTTATACAAATGCTTGTATTTCTCGGGTTGTTCCAAGTATAACATGGCTATATTTTAAATAGACTGGGCATAGTTTCCACAGAAAAAGCATTAGACTATAGTTATTATGTGGTTTACAAATATATTTTAACCACAGTCAAGAATGAACTCTTAACCCTGGATGAAAACTGGTCCTTAATGACCTCAGAGGAATAACATTTTTAATATCCACATAACTAGGTAACTCTCTGCTGAGGAGGATCATGTGATACAGTCAAAGGCTCCAGAGCAGCTACTGAATGTACCTTGCGGTGTGATTGTTTTGTCTCCAAGATTAAAAATAAGCTTCCCATATGTGCATACCTCATGTATACCCCCAAAGCAGTTTGCTGTCTTCAATAAATATAGATCAAAATAGATCTCTCGCAAGTGAGCAAACCTGTCTCAGTGGCACAGACTCCACATCAGCCTCCAAACTAAATATGTGTTTCATTCTATTCACTATTGTTCTGTTTTCTCAGTGGGCTGTGCTCTCAAAGAATCAGGTGAGTGATGCTCAATGCATTACAAAGAGTTCAATACAAAGGGCCAGCTTAAGAGTGTTGACATTCCAGGTAAACCCAAACTCAAACATAGCTGTCTACCTTATCCGATTTGGAGCCTTTGAAAAAAGCTCCATGCCATAGTCACCGCAGTCCTCTAAAAAGTCCCAGTTACTGAAGTATGATGGACGTATTAGAGTGAAATGCATAATAGTCTATATGTTTTTTTTTTATTGTGACCAGCCTTTCCCCAAACCCAAGAAAGAGCTGTTTTCTCATGTATTGCTTGTACAAATTAAATCCTGTAATAAGAGAAAGACTACTTCATTTAAATATTATCATACTAGAGCTTACTAAGCCTGCTGCTAATTGTAGCAGAAAAGCACTAGATTATAATTGGAACGAGATATATGCTCCCGTAAATGTCTCAATAGTGCCCATATTTTACAGGTTGAAGGGTGACTGTAATAAAGAAATTGCCCTATTGAACTGATAATAATCCCAGCCCACCGTAAATGAGTCTGATCCCTCAGTAAATTGAGCCCTTGGTGAGGTGGAGTGGTGTCAGCACCTAGCCAACTCTCAGATGACTCTCTAATCCCCACTTCCCTCTTACCACCACCCTCATGGTCTAATCAGTCTTGAACACACACATAACACTTCACACCCATCTGACACACATACACACATCCAAGCACTCACCCGTACTCACACTTGGGCTCAGCCATCTCTTCAGTATGATGTCACTGCTAATCCACGCTTGGTTATCCGTTGGGCTGCGGTGCTGGCAGAGGGATACGGGGAGGAGATGGAGTGAATTTGGGGGAGGTGGAGAGATGTTGGGGGGGGAGGGGTGTAATCAGGCACATCATAAAGTCTTCTCTCTAAAAACCACCACTTCCATTATGCACCAGCACATAGAAAACCAAACCCAGCCAAACTGAACAGCATATGCATAAATTCTCAACTGAGTGTTAATATGAATGCATATTCCAACTCTGATAGGAAAGATAAAACACAGCTCCAAGCATATTCACAGAGGCCCATGGCGCCTATTCGAGGCACACAGGAATCATTAGAGAGTCTGCTGGATTAAGCACACCCTCCAAGCCTGCTCCTCGACTCTGTGCATCCAGAAAATGCAAGGCCTTTTTATTGACAGCTTGTCCAAAGAGAGGAATTACCCACATGGTTGAGGCCCTCATTCCATATGGCACCAGGCTATTAACAAACATTAGTTGACCGTAATGGCAGTGGTATTAAATTCATTATATTTTCCAAATTGTATGTGTTTGTGTTTGTGTGTGAGTGGGGCTAGAGTCAGTGTGTGCTAGTGTGTGTGATTAGAGAGTTCTAATGTTCCAGCTCTGGGGATTTCTAGCATGAGATAAGAAAGGGCATTAATGGTGAACTGTGATGGTCCAGCAGTGCAAAACTGTTGTTTGACATGTGTGTATGCTTCTCTTCCTGAGTCCCTTTTACAATAATGATTTACATATTCCCTCACATTTGTGAATCACAAATGCAAACAGGACAGCCATGCATGAAAAAGTGGCTTAGGGCACAACTGAGTGAAATTCAATCTATTTGATTTTGTATTTTCTTCACTTACCACATATCTGTTTTAATCTTACCTTAAGCATCCTTGAAATGAGGTGTAATCCAGTTAAGCCCTTTTTGAATCTGCTTTGCAGTTATATTACAACCATTCATCACCCTGTAAACATTCTCACTGCTAAACAGTTGCTCACTGAGATTGTCCACATGTGCAAATTCACACACTGTAGATGTTAAAAGAACAAAAGTGCACTATTTTTGCCGTCATGCAGTTGTCAAATAGGCATTGCTTGGGTGACCTTTTGATGCACGTACGCACAGGGGCAGATCTAGAAAGTTTCAGACGGGGTGGCCAGGCTGGGACACAGACTCAGAGAGGCGTGGCACATCTGAAAAATGTAAAAATTGAATTAAAGCCCTAGTTGTATGAGGTAATAGGCCATACATTATTAAGCATCAAATTGTTTATTTGTGTAAAAATGAGACACACATAGTGCTTTCATTACCTAAGTCTGGCTGTGCTCCTTTTTACTCCCAGTCAGGGACACCGCTGCTGCACAGTGGCAATAGTTTCTCATTGTGTTTCATTCATTAATACCGACACACATCACATTTTGACTCCGGCAGGGGCGGCACTAGGAGTGGCCATTCAGGTCCTGGGGATAGCCCATGCCACCCCTGGCCACCCTCTGGCTCCACCCGTGAATATACAGCAGACAATGAAAAGGAACATTTGTTTAACTGACAAATAAACAGTAGATAATACAATTAAAAAAGTAATGCAACAATGTATCATCACCTGATTCTTACTGCTTCCTGTCATGTACAATTGCCACTCTCTCCTTTTACTCAGAAAACAGTGGAGCAATCTACTGGGCAAAAACCATCAAGTGAAAGCTGCAATACAATGATTAGTGTATTATTATTATTATTCCAAATCTCAGATCAAATAAGAGGCTGGTAGAAGACAACAAAACAATGTAGTGAGGCCTTGAACCAGCGAATAAGTCTTCAGAGGGATTAATTCTGCTCTGTGATCCTGTTCTCATTATAAGAAGCAGGGGACTCAAACACACATAATAACAGGACTGACTGCTGTTCCTTTGTAACATGTGGCTACCTAAATGATCTTAAATAAGATAGATGACAAGGATAAAGCAAATCATAATCGGCATTTTGCACAATGGAGCATAATAGTCTAAAGAGAACAAGGGACAACATACATAACTCCTGTTTCCATCACCCGGAGCAGCACACCTAGTCGAGAGCAATTAAAATGAGAGGATTCAATTTTGTCAAACACCAGGAACCTCAGATAAATCTTGTATCTCATTTTCCAGTGGAGGACAATCCCTCACACCACTGCTGTCATGTTTGTTATGGTGTTTTTAAGAAACAGCTGGCTACTGACAGAGTCGGTAAAACAACTCCCCGTCCCCAAATGACGTTAATCCCAGTCATTTCAGTTTGAGACCCAGGGGGGAGAGAGAGAGAGGGAGAGTCAGGTGAGACTACGAATAAAAGAAGGTCTCTGACTGGGAATGTGGAGGGGGGGGGGGGGGGGAGGGGAGCATGGTTTCCATGTGGGAGCAATCCACTTACTTGAACTGATAAAGATTTAATTAACATAAGACTCTGCAATTACTCTGTAATTAAAGTAATTTGTCCTCTTGTTTGGATGAGTAGGCAAGACATCACATGTGCCTCTGTAAGAGGGCACGAGAGGCTCAGAGGGGTAGACGATGTCCCACTTTAATGTTTAATGTTTGAATATAATGCTTGATTTTCCAACCCCATTTTTCCCTTGCATGCTCCAATAAAATATTTGTACCAGCTTCTCTGTAGTTTGTGTTTCTTTCCCTTTTATTTGACAACTCATTTGTTATTCATCGAGAAAGTAATAAGCTGAATAGGCTGAGTGCAAAGTATCATCAACAGCCACATGAAATAGTAAATAGGCCTGATATGATCATAATCCTCTTCAAACCACACTGCATACACCTTTCAATTGTGAAACGTAAGTGCGACAAAGCTTGCTCAAAGCTACAGCAGAAAAATAGAAGCTGGATGATCTTACTTGGTGAGATCCAACTGCATGAAAGCGAGAGTCCTGTGTGAGGCATTTGACCTTGGGCCTGGACCCAGTGCAGTGTGGGTATGTGATGAAACAGTCTCACAAGACAAAAATAGTGGGGAATTAACAGCAGCATACAATATGCGTCATCCTCCTGTGGCAGTCCAGTTTGCTGTAAGATAAAAAAAAAACAACTGCTAAGTTAAAAACCAGGGAAACAGATGTGTCTTTGAATCTCAGGGTTGTATGTGCTGTTATTCAATTTACACAAGGGGAAAACACACTATCCGCACTTTACCTCGGTCACATTGAGGTGAAAACAGCCTTCAACATGTCAGCTGAAGTGTCTGGCTTGATGCACAGCCTGCAGTCACCTGTGGCACTTCACTGGGAGGGTCTAATTAAAGATGTCCAAGTTGCATTATGGGAAATGTAGGATTCTCCATTTATTTGGAGCCTTTTCCCTCCTGGCATCTGCTGCTTCAAATTTGACTTTTTTTTTAAATTGTCTTCTGAGTCCCACAGCTTTATAGAAGTGCAGGACTAAATTGCAGAATTAGCCCTTTAATATCAATTGTCAAGTTTTAACTCTCTCATGTCTCTCAGATCATGTTTTCATGTTTTTGTTGTGCTATCTGTGATTGTTCTAAATTAATGTGACACCTTTTTTGCATTGCCATTTTCAGCCAGAACTTTGTAAAAAGGGATGATGAATCTCGAGACCCTTCTTGGTTAAACAGCAATTAAATAAAGATAAAATAAAGGGTTTATTTGGTGTATTCATTGACATACCACCTTGCAATACGTCATTTATTCCATAAGCAAACATTGGGCAAAATGTCATAGTTTTGCGTCTCATGGACCGCTTTCCTGATCACTCCTGAATAAGAATAAATGAATAAGATGCAGTTTTTAAAGGACCTACAATTACAATGCTTTGGATTTACTAGCCATTTTGTGCGGCAGTAAATGTGTATTATTTATTCAGACAGGTACTCAGTAGTACAATTATTATGCAACATGCAGCTAAAAACATGATCGTGTAAAACTGACTTATGCGACTATGAAAAGTGTTAATTAGGTTCAAAAAGTTGATGACAGGAGTATCACGGTTTGTGTCAATCTATTACAAAAACCACTATCAGAACAGTGTAGGAACCTTACTTTGTCATCCAGGAAGCTGGTACCATTCCACTTTTATTTCCTTAACCCTGCCCTGCTTAAGACAGGGGAGCCACCCAGAGATCTCAAAATTAGCATGCTGTCACCTTTGGTGCCTCTTCTGTCATTCAGAAAAACAGGCAAGTGTGCAGACATATGAACCCATCTCACATCTACGGCAGTAATGTTAATTAGGAAGCATGGCGTCCCACAGCTCCATTCCTCTCCGAACCCCTAACTGACATGTTATGTATTTAAATCCCTTTCATGTGCCCTTATTATAGAAGAGATGAAGTCACACACAAGTGATGGAAAATGTCATCATCATCATCATCATACCATATTTCTGCATGCACATAAAAAAATAAAAGCCAAAAATTGCTCACAACTGCCCATATTTTTCAGGCATGCTGTGTGCATGATGCTTGGATTTATCTAAAATAAATCTAATAACAGTATAATCTGGAAATTAAAAGCAGTATATATTTTAAAAGCTGCAAAAGCAATGTAGTAGCCTAATTTTCAAGCATATACACATATCACATTAGTTAATTTATTTCCTGTCATTTCATATGCATTTGTGATTTATTTATACTTTAGTCTTTTCACAATAAACATTTCTTTGTTTTGTGTTTTTGGCTAACCGATGGCTCAGTGGTTTGGTGGGCAAACTGCCAGCAGCTCTATAGTCGAGGAACTAGTGCCCTCCTGTGGGTTTACAGGGTCACTGCACCCTACACTTAGTACCAGGCCCGTCTTATAGTAAATATTACTATAAGGCTTATAAGATAGAACCTGAAATGTGAATATAAAATACTTTAAGAAAATTCTTTCCCTCGTCAAAAATAATAATAATAATGTTTGATGGTGCCATCAACACTCAGAGCTATTTTGGCAACCAAGATAGTAGAGCAATGTTTATCCAGAGGAATGATGAAATACATATGTAACTGTGATTAAACATTACTTAGTTGTGTGAACACAGCCCAGATGCTGCAGTTCAAAGGCAGTAGATGAATAAAAAGGAACAAATCCTGCTCATCTCGCTTTAAATTAGTCATTTTAAAATGGTCTGTGTCCCAGAACATTTCCTGTAAGTGTAAGAGACAACCAACTCATTTTATTAAAAATATTTTTATTCTTTGCAAAGGAGGCATTTGGAGCATCAGTGCATTCTATGGTTTGTGTTCAGAGTTCCTTTAGGAAACCGAATCAAAGAACAAGCCCCTGGGTGAACTGATGGCCCCACCCATGTTTACAGAGGAGGAATGTTTGAGGCAGCTACTCTGCAGCTGTTACAGAACACAGCCTTAAGCAATGGGCACAGTGTTGGAGCTCAAAGGAATGCTACTGTACAGTATGTGGCTTAGTTCTTGACCATGCCTGGTGGTTACACAAAATCTGAAATAATCAAGTGATCTTGAAATGCCTTGTGGTATAAGTGAAGCATAATGCTACTCAGCTTTTTAAGAATACTGAGTATGTTTCTCTTAGGAAGGAACCAAAAAGAAACATACTCCAGTGGCCCACCACTGCTGCAGAGATAATATCTTTAGTTTTTGTGAAATCAGAAAAGAAAAACAAGGTTGAAAACCTCCGTGGCAGAATATGAACATGACTGTCAACATCTCATAATTGTAACACTCATTAGTGACAGAATTAATGCATTTGACTACTCTACATAGGGGCACGGTTTGGTAAACTAACACCACAAAAAAATGCACAGATTTGTCCCAGATTCTTTAGTTTCAATTCATCTGCTACTTTGTTTTGGACAACTAGACTCATCCATTCACACAACAGAACTCAACAAATGTTAGCACTATGTGTGATGATGTCTTTTCCAATGAAGCTGGTACGTGCAGTTGAACAGCACTGACTATAATCCAGAATAGTCAACAGTTCACCATAGCAGCAGTTTGGGTTTCGGATTATTTATGGAAACACTTTGGCTTGGAGAGAGCAGCTGAGAGAAAACAGCTCCTCCTTGTTTTTGGTATAATCTCTGGATGCTGCTGAGACTGTGGCCAGGTTTGACAGTGAACAAATCGTTGGATCAGACCCAGCGTGGGATAAAGCTAGCGGCAGTGCACACTGACTACAGTATGTTTGTGGGACAGGGACACAGCAAGCTAGCAGGCCAGCATGCAGGTGTATCTGCTGTGTATGGTTGTACAATTACCTATATGACTTCAACAGTGCAGCCAGCCTCTGAGACGGTGAAGAGAGTAACTGAAGCATCACGTCAATGGATTTCATTACATTCACTGTCAAACCTTGCGAGCTTGGTTGAATACATGTGTTCTTTCTGGTAGAATTTTGGGTGGTGGGTGAAATTATAGAAAGGGTACTGGGGGTGATCCAGGGTGCTTGAAACAAAAGCCCAAGGGCGCACACACACAAACATTCTCACACTCCTTATTTATGCAGGAGAAAAATATATTATCATTTGCATTACAAAACAGTACAAGGGCCTCAGTGTAGTAAAATACCTCTGTCAGATAAAAATGTGGAAAAATCCATGTGGGTTATCGTTTCCTTACGTCTTCTGTATGCAAAACTATCTCTATCTCTCTCTGCCTTCAACAAAATATCTTTTCTCATTTATTAAAAATATTCCCATAATTTCAAGGGATTTGAGGCACTAGATTATATATCTGTACACAAAAAGCTCACCTGCATCCCTCAAAGTTTGTTCAGCAAATGGAAGTCACCTCTGGAGAGCTACATGATCTAAATGTCTTGAGGTCTGAGGGGACAACGGGGAACACTTAGCTAGTTGGACCCCAAGTTTCTTTTCAGCCAACAGTCCAGCTGTCTGGCTCTGTAAACCCTTTGTCTCAGACCCACCAGGAACCAGCCTTTAAACCCTTCCCACTAAACTACCCCTGCTCACCTTTTCTGGTTCAGTCTGATTCATGAGTAAAAATGAATCGTTCCTTCTGCTACCTTAATCCTAAGGCCCTCTGATGGAAAAGCAGCAGGTGCTGTAGTTCAAACAGCCCAGTGCTTGAGCCTTGTTTAGAGTGCCTGGTTGGCAGGACAGCTGAAGCAGTATTTCATTTTGAAGGAGCCAGGCATCTGTGGTCCAGTGTCCTCCACATCTCTGCATCCCACTGTGGCCATCCAAACAGCCACAAGGGGACTTGATTGATCTGTAATGGCTCTCTGTTGTGCAGAATCCACAGTACATGACCAGAACTTTCCACTGCTGGCTTACATGAACAAAAGAAAGTACAAAATA